GTAGCCTTAGATACCTATACAAAATATTCATGTGTGCTTGTTTGTGTGTGATAAGCTGACTCTTGGACTGCTTTGATTTTCTCTATGGTGCCCAGATTGGATTCCCTTCAGGTCAACAGAAACCTTTTCAAAGATTTCAGCGGGAACTGAGTCAACTTCAGCAAAATTTTTCAAGAGCAGAAAACACAGAGATAATCAGAAGTATGGTATTTTTATGAAGATCCTATTTTCTACTTCCTACTTGTAGTTTTAGAAGTGGAGAAAATATTTTCTTAGGGAGGAAACCAGCCTTTCAGGTTTCCTCAAGAATCACAGTGGAGAAGTGATACTAATGTTGAAATTCAACAACTGGTGGCTTATTTTGCTGCTATCACATCTTAAATCGATTGAGATAAGAACAGAGGGAAAAATATTATCTGAGAACTGAGATAACCCCTCCTGTTCATCTGCCAGCTGTTTCAGTGTGTGCTTTATAGGATTTGCAGAGATGGACTATAATCACACTAGTGGGCTGGTGTCTATCTGCAAGAACTGGCTTTTGAATATTGAGCAACAATGTGCTGTGAACTGAAGCAGTTTGGCAAGATGGCTCAAGGAAGGTTGCTCTGTGATAACCTTGGTTTTTTTTCTTTAAACTTTTCAGATGACTGCTGTTTGGGCTGAAGTTTTATCCACTGCATACAAAGGTTGTCTGGTTTTCAGAAACGTGTCAGAAAGGAATTTACCCAGAAAGGCAAAGGTGAAGGAGACCTTCACTTGCTTTGCTCATTAAAAAAATTAAAAAAAAAGAAAAAAAAATTCTTTCTCACTTGGTTTAGGAGCAAGACCCAGAGTTAAATGATGAATAAACTTTTAGGTCATTGACCATGGGTTATCTCAGGCCTTGAAAGGTGTACTCTGGCTTTGCTGGTGCTTGCAGAGGGACAAGGAGATGGAAGAAAGAGAGAGGACATCCACTCATTAGGAATTTGAGCACAGTTCCAATTAGCTTTATCTCTGCCTGAGCCATGCTACACCATATAAGTAATGCTTTCAATGAGTAGTCACTGAGTTCACAGTCCTTGTCCCCCAGGAGCTGCCTGGGGACCCTGGAGCCCGATGGGCAGAAGAGCAGAACACTGCCAGCTGTGCCACCACTTGGAGCACAGATATGCTTTCAGCAGCTGAGCTTTTGCAGACAATTGCCTCTGAGCATCTTTTACTGGAAACCCAAAAATGAGAGGAAGACAATTGTTTTAGCCTGAATACCCCCAGTTCTGCTTGCGCTGCTTTGCTAATCATTGCACTCCCTCATCCCAAGCAATCTGAGGAATCTCCCAATACCAAGCTTCCCAGAGGAATTTTCAGCCTAAATTAAACTTCTGGATGCACAAGATGACTGTGGAGTTGGCTTAGTTTATTTGGAGGAAAAGAGCAAGGGAAGGAGCACTATGCTGACCTTGCAGTTTAATGACAGTGAAAATCTTGCTCAGCCACTTAGTAGTATTCTCCATGGGAAAGACCTCAAGGTCTCTGGCCTCAATTAACATTGTTCTTTGCTTACCCTCAGAGTTCCTTAAACCCTACTTGAAGCTGTAGTGGTGAAACCCAAGATCCTGACAAAGAACACCTGAAGAGACAGGAGAATACATGGAAATCTGGAAGAAAGGGAGAAGATGGAAAGCCTGAAACATCTTCACCTTAGGAGGTATTTCTGTTCAAAGAGGGGACATGGCACAAAGCTGGGAAGAATCTGAACCCATTGCCCAAGCATTCAAGATGAGTTGTCTCCTTCATCTAAGGAAGTTCTGGGAGGCTTGGGGTGCCAAGGAGGCAAAGAGACAGGAAAGTCTCCAAAGCAGAAGCCATTAGCAAGAGCAAAGCAAACTTTGAGATTTTATTAATCCACACTGCAGAGCAGAACAAATGACCTCCTTAAAGCATCTGCAAGTTTAGTTTTCCCAAGCTGGGCTCCTGATTTTATTAGAAATCTTGCCTAAATCTGAGCTCATGCCTTGTTGCTGCCAATCAAGTGTGTAGTACTTGATCTTGCAAAAAAGATTAAAATAGAAGGAGATACATGCATGTAAAATACGTCTCTGCTGAAGTACATTCGTTTGTTGTACTAACAGCACAAGCACCCAGATGAGGAAGAGCACCATGTATCACCACTTGATCCACAGTGGGTACTCTATACTGAGGGGCTAGAAGTTTGGAAGATATATTTGGGTAACATAGGGAGGACTGACTGCTATAGTTTCTCTTTCTAATGTTCATAGCAGTGCAAAGCAGGTCTGGTTCATACTCATTTCAAGTCAACTGCCTGCTGCCCACGATGCTTTCTACAACCAGGCCAGCCTGCACAGAAAGGGCATTTAGTATGCAACTATCACTTCTCTAAAACCCTACAAGAATCCAGAACTAAAAATGTGATTCACAAAACCAAAACAGAGCGAAACAGAGCAAAACAAAAGCCCATGCACAACCACAGAACCATACCCACATGATAGGAAGGTGGTGTGCTGTCACCAAGCTGCCTCTCAGCAACTGTTGGCCATGGGCCCAGAGCAGTACCCTGCACAGGTCTGCAATCTTTGCCCATATAAAGAGTGTTTGCATTGACAATGCCCAAACATACAGAAGTCTGAAGTTTTAGCAGCAAGATATGAGGACTCATTGGATAGACCTGGAATACATCTATCCTCATGTTCTGGGATGGGGAGCTGGTGTTCCAAAGCCTGTGTCTCACTGAATGTTCATTTAGAGCTCCTGGATAAATGCAAAGTGGCAGCAAGCACATCTCTTGCCCTGGTTGTTCACAAAAGGCACATCCTTTGTATCTGACAGACATTGAAAGGCTCTTACAAAGCATCCTCCTCTGAAAGTTTTGTCGTCTGCCAGTGTAATGTTCTTCAGTGCAGACTGATTTGTTTCCATTCAGATGATTTGGGTTGGTGAAATCCAGAAAGAAGACACAGGACAAAAAAGGCAGACCCTGACAGCAGTGGCTGGACAAAGTAATGTGAAGGAGGACTGCCCTGCAGTATAAAGAGTTAATGATTTTGCCATGGTTGTGGTGAATTCATTGGCACCCCAAAAACTGACAAAAGGCAAAACAAATCTCAGTTGGGGATGAGGACACTGAGCATTGCAGGCTGCCTACAGGAATGCAGCAGTGACAGGAAAAGCTCACTAACACTAAATCAGCCCCTGCAAGCCAGACTTGCAAAGATTAGAACTTCACTGCTGCATCTCCATGGAATTCAAAGGAAGCCACAGATACCTGCTCAGCGCAGGACGATGCAGTGTGCTACAGATCGCTTTGCAATCAGGGTGATGTGGGACAGAGCTGTGCCCACATGGCCGCACTGTACTGTTTTCATGTAAAGAGCAAAGAACACACGGCAGCTAGGAAACGCGTATCAATTATAAGCCAGAAGATCAAACAGCAGTTCCATCTAGTATGATCAGCATTGTTCATTCCCTGTGTGCAAACCAGGTGTAAAGGACAGGGAAGTCAAACATCTTTTACATCATATCCCCATTTGAAACAAATTATGACTAAGAAGGGAAGAGGTCATTGTCACCTCCTCTCCGGTAACTTGGAGAGGGTTTGAAGGGGAAAAGTACATTCGCTTCTTTTTCTGAATCAGCTCTAATGATTAACCAGCCCAACCTGGGACACTTCTGTAATACAACTCATAGCCCAGGAAAGCATCTTGTTGTCTGATATCAGTACTCCCTTACAAGAGTAATTTGGGTAACCAGCTAGACCTCCATTCATCGCTTTAACAGTGGAGCAGGGCCAAATATGAGGGGCTGCAGTCTTATACTGAGCAAATACATTGCAAGCAAAACCTGAATAAGCCTCTAGCCTCTATCTATTTGACATATCAGGCACTTACTGTTTAATTATACAGATGAGTAACACCAATGAAAGGGTGCTTTTTCTTTGCAAATTTGTTACAGGGGAATGAACATGAATTAGGTTGTAAAACAAAACTGTGGTGTAAACAGTGTAATTGCTGTCTTATCATCTGTGGCAATCAATGATCTGTAAGCCACTTTACATGGCTGCCCCAAGCCATTTCACCATCTTGCAGTCTGAGGTCAATAAATAACATCTTTAAAATGAGAGAGAGAAGAATATGTACTCTAGAGTGGCATCCAAAGAGAGCTGTTCTGCATCAACAGAGACCTCAGCCACATGGAAAACCATGTGGGAAATCTCTTACAGAGGAAAGAAGGGCAGAGTGAGGTGCTTTTGGTAGAGGCAGGCCTTCATTCTCAAACTTATTCATTAAAGCCACAATCTGTGCCAAACTGCCGCTTATTAGAAGTAAGCTTAACTGTTTTTTACTCACAGTTAGTAAAACACACTAGCTCTTATGTACGTCAGTTAGGCATGAACTTTAAGTGCAATAGGACTCAGGGACCACAAAGAGGTTTAGGTGATTTGCAGGGAATATTTTGGAAGTGGGGATGTTTCTTGATGGCAGAAAAACAGCTAAGGATACAACTGTAAACCCCCCCCAGTAGAATGTCTTTCCACGCATCACTACCTCCTCATGGAAGCTGTACCCTGTATACATTTATAACAATGTATGTGTTTTAGATCCTGACTGCACAACTTTCTTAATCAAGAAAGTTATTTATTGGTCTTATAGATTGGTCTTCTCAACCACTGCTGAAAGGATCATCCCCCAACCATGTTGCACCTCATTGGTGCCCAAGTGCCCTCATATCTATGCAGCCACACTGCACAGTTATTGAAGAGGATGGCCAAAATGAAACCTAGTGTGCTGAGCAGAGCTGTCCCAGCAGGTCAGAGGCTGAGAAAATGTTTTTTCAGCTGTTGCTCCATAGCTAGGGACCTAGCTTAAACCTTTCCCAGAAAACAGAGAAATGAAATAGGGCTCTGGCTCTGACACAGAGTAGCACTGAAGCAGACCTAGCCTTTCCTCATACTCAGCTGAATGTCGGAGCTTCTCCATGCAGATCCATTGCCCCACACAGCTTACCAGTGTCCATCTGCAGCACGACTGGCTCCAGCACCATGACCATGATAATGTTGGGATGTCCCTGGAGCCTAAGTTCGTTCAGATAGAGGGTGGCTGAAGATAGCAGGCTGGACTGGATGTTGGGAGTGTGTTCCTATAAGACACTGATAATATATTCACAAATGAGTAGCAAATGCAGCACATAGCAGGTTGAATCAATGTAAATCTCTGACTTTTTAAGAGGACGTTATCTAAAATACCTGACTTATGGCAGAGATGGGGCTGATTTAGGAGCATCAGAGTGTCAGGAGGAGACTGACCCCCACTGTATGAAGCACTAGAGGCTCTCATCCACCTATAGCCCTGGTGCCTTGTGAGACTTGCAGTAAAAAAAAAATCATGTCAACAAGTATTTGTTTCCAGGGGAAACAAATGAAAGAAATATCATCATAAATCCCTCAGAGGCCTCTGTGTGAATGTAGAACTCATTCTCAGCCAGATTTTATTGGAGACAAACAACAGACAGGAGTCTCTAGGACACCTCCTCTTCCCAAAGAAATGGCTCTCCTTTCCAACTGCATTTGCCATGTGGTTGCTGGAACATGTTTTGAGCAACAGCCAATCTGATGGCACATATCCAGCTGCCCAGCCAGAGTGCTGGAGGGAAACTGCAGGAGAGAAGGGGAGATTTGGTTTCTCAATCCCCAGTTATGTTTTTTAGCATTCCAGACCTCTGTGGGGCAACCAAATAATTTCATCACCTTGTTTAAAAACAAAAGGAAGATGAGGTGATGGGACAGGCTGCAGGGCTGCAGGTTTGAGAGGGTCAGAGCTTGGGCTAACCAAGATGAACAGTGCAAGAGCAGCAGCTCTGCAGCAAGTCACTGCAAAAACAACCACAACCAATGCAGAGCAGGAGGACAGATCTCCTTTTGTAACACTGTGGCCCAGTCACAAAACCCCTTTGCTTTCATCTTCCCCTTGTAACTATGCTTTCTGCTCTGTGGCCACTGCTGTGGTGCCACCAAAAAAGCCACCAAGATGGAAGGTGCCTGGCAGGCAGACTCACCTCTTTCCTGGGTTTGCATATGCAGTCATCTCCTAATTTTAGCAATTTATTTGGCAATGGCCAGAAACCCTTTTATATCTTCCTGAAAATTCAGGTGTCCAGTTACCTAATGGACTTTAAAAACAGTCCCACCACCATCCAGGTGCAGAAGTGTGGCCAGATGTTGGGTCTCCTGGTTACCAGAGTGGCTGCACCGCATTAACACCTTCTACTAGATAGAGTTTGATAATGCTTCCTCCCTGAAAGGTGAAAACCTTGAAAACCTTAGACCTCTCTGCTTGTGATCTCTATCAGCATCTTCCTGTGCTAGCAGTGCTCCAGTTTCAAAAGCACTCTGTCCCTTTGCTGTGGTGCATAGCTCAGTGTTTGCATGATTCCCTTCTCTCAGCAGCTCTGCTGTTCTCTGGTTTTAACTAAATCCCAAATTTACTCCCTCCACATTCATTCCTAATTCTATAAGTGGCCAAGATTCGTATCTTCCTCTTTGCCTTCTTGGAGTGTAATCTTAACTACAGTAGAGAAAGTATAAACCTCATTATCCTCCGTGCAATGCACTGCTTTTACCCACACAGAACTTCTAACAGTGACTGCCCATTCATTTCACGCCATTTCAGGCATTCTGCATACATCTTGGTTTTTGCTTCCTTTTCTTCATTTGACACAAATTAATCTCTTTTCTATATCCTGTTCTCACCAAACGGTGAGTTTCAGTAATAAAATTCTACAGGGAACTTCTGCTGTATTCTCTTGCTGTGTGTTCATTCCTCCTCTCCCCCCACCCTACAGGGGACCTGGGCCTTTCCATACTTCTGATTCAACTCTTTCCAGTCAGAAATCTGAAGGCAGCTGTCCTGCTCCATCCTGGTCTGCTATGGAGTACCATCCGTGCAAAGAGATTAGAATTTTTGCATGTTCATAATGGTTCTAAATTTGATTAAGTGAAATAAAATTTATATTCCTCCTCTTTGTCTCAGGCCCACAGGAGTCTGAGCTCAGAGCAGAAGCAGTTTTTCTCCTCTACTTATGAGTAATGCTGGTTTGAACTCAATTCTCAAAATACTTGTCTCACCGTCTCGGATCTGCTTGATTCCAGTTATTCTTAGCCCCCAAGTCACTGTGATAAGAAGCTAAATTAAACTGATTTCCAACACAACAGCAACAAAAATCGTACTGAAATGAAAATATTTATCATAACTTTTTTTCTGGAAATGAGAAAGCTTTCTTCATTTTCAGAACAAACAACATGATGGTCCTTTAAGAAATCACTTCAAGGCTGATGCTTTACTGGTCTGGACCGTCTGGAGTAAAAGATGAGTGCAAAGTGTTTGCAAGAGACCCTGCTTCCATACTCTCTTCTCCATGATGGAGAACTCACACATCAGATCCCACAGGCTATTGCAGCACATGACTGCCTATGAGCAAGTTGCGGGTTCAGGGAAACGATGGAAAGAAGAAGTCAAATGGGTAAATCCCATGCCAGCATGTGAGATGTGACAAATCTGCTGTTCTGACCTGAGAGTGTCTTACACAGCCATAAACATCTCCAGCAGAGTGAGCTCAGTGGAGAAGCAGCCTCTCTTCTGGAAGAGCTGTTGGTGCAGGTTGGAGATGTGAGCTATGTATTCCCCATTCATTTTCAGCTCCATTCATGGCACTGGAAAACATTGCTCAGCTTCTGCACCTCTCTCCAGCTTTTGTCTTACAAATTTTTCAGATAATGACATGCTGAAGCTTTAGGTTTTGTCTTTTTAAAAGCTGACAGATTTAAAGACCAGTTTTCCTAAGCTCTTTGTGAATGTTGTAATAAATAAACAAAAATTGAAGTTAGTATTAAAGGCACAAAGATCCCTCTCCCTGCTTATCTCATGCTGTTTATGTCCTTACATCATTGCTTTTGCTACACTAATGTTCAAGGAGCTCCTGGCAGCATTCAGCAGCACCTGCAGGATTTGGTCCGACCTCGTATGGGACAGCCTTTGGGATTCAGGCCTTCTTGGTCCCCTCCATCCCTGCCTGCTGGACATTCATTTAAAGTTTAATTAAGAAGAGAGTGGGAGAACTAGACCAACAGACCTGTAACACGGGCCTATAGACTTGTTACATCTGTGAAGAGTTTCTCTGGACCACACAAGTGTCGGCACTGCTTTGGCTTTGCAGCTGCCAAAAAAGAAAAAATCCCATTGCAATGACATGTTTCTCACTTTGGGTCTGGCCTTGTGGGGAGAGGACAGATTTGTCCAGCCCCAAGGCAATTCATTGCACAAAGCCAGGGTCACAACCACGATTTTCAGTGTTCATCTAAACAGTTGGGTGAAGGGTGATAGTACAAATGAAACAAGCACATAGCAGCACTGATAGCAGGGAAATGAGAGTTAGACAGGGGTTTGAAGGCTCACCACCAAGCAAGGTATATCCTGCCCTACCCTAAAACCGTTCTTTCAAGCGTTATGACTCAGAGGTTCATCATGAATCACTCCCTTTCTAGTTTCCTCCTGCAACCAAGGAAAGCACTTAATGCTATCCCGGGGAAATGTGCCACGAGAACCAAGTGTGGGCTGGGCCAGCTGTGGGGTGAGGAGTCACCAACATGGGGCAGACATGCAGCATGTCCAAGGGGACATGCAAGCCTCTGTGCTGCCCAAAGCCCAGGCTCCAGGACTGAACGTGCTGCTTCCTGAAGTGAACACAAAGCGCTGGGGCTACTGAAGCTGTTACAAGGCTGAAAGGAATGAGGAGTTAGGAATGTGGAGGCTCATACTGCGCCAAGCAGTGCGATAGGGAAAGCTGTTGATCCTCCTTATCCCACCCTCCCAGTAACTCCAGCTCTGCCTCAGCTCCACATTCAAATTCAGGGCAGAATTAGTCCTTTCTTTGAGTAGTTTTCTGATGAGTAACCCGGTTACATCAGTGGCTGAGTCACAAAAAGCAAACCTTTATGCAGCAGCAGAAGCTATGGAAACTCCCTGTCACATCAGCTTTATGACTGCATTGTTCAGATGGTTTAGAGAAAGCAGCTTCTCTATACCAAATTAGCTCAAAACTTGCCAGTGGATGGAAATGAATGTTTTGAAAATGTTAGCAAGTGATTAGATGGTACCTTAATTGAAAACAACAGAGCCAGAACTGCACATAGGAGAGGAGACTGGCTTGCCTGGTCTCATGGGATGAAATACCATGGGGACACAGACCTATGTGCATTTGCAGACTGTTGCCATCTTCCTCTTTAACCTTGGGAAAACTGGAGTTTCAAGGCCTAGTACTAATCTGAAAGAAACTTAGCACCCAATTTGCCCAATTTTTCAGCTAAGGGGAGAAAACAACACTTAACAGTGGGTCCATTTACACCCTATACACAATATGGGACGTATCCTACCTTTGAAAGTAATGAATGTTTAGACAACAAGGATGTGGCATACTACTCCTACTACTTTCCTAATCCACTTGCAGTTTATGGGCTTTCTGATCACTGCATCAAATCTTCATAATTAATATCCCCAATTAACTTTTTTCCCTTGAATTTGCTTAACCACTTTCTAAAGCCATTTATTCTTCAGCATCTACACCAGAACAAGGAGTTCTACAGTTTACAGCCAGACCGTGTAAAGAAGTAATTTCTTCTTTCTCTTTGTTTAAAAGCTGAGTTGTCAGAAAAAAAATAAATTTTAAAAAAAAATTGAGATTTCAGGTTCTTGTTTTGAGAAAACAAACAAACAAACAAACAAACAAGCAGGGCTCTATCATTTTGTTCTTTACTCATCTTCTCCATCGCACTCATGACAACACAGCCCCTACCACAGCCCTGTTTCAGTCACTCCCCTTTCCAGCCATTACAAAGCATTCTCAAGTAGGAGCAGTCCTATTGCTTCTACCATTCTTGTTGTCATTCTCCACATCCTTTCTACTTCATTTTGATTATTTTCAGCAAGAGTTAAAAGCTGCATGCACTGTGTGTGCAGCATTCCAGGTGTGAAGGAAAAACGTTTCTAGAGGAGCTTGTTTCTTCCCCTTTTGTGCCTTCTTCCTGTTTGAACAATACCTACCATCTGATTTGCCATGTTCTCTCTGCTGAGCATTGAGTTGACATTTTCATAGGGTTATATGTGATGAGTCTAAGCTTTTCTTTCTGAGTGGCAATATCTAATTTTAGACCTCGCTGCTGTGCATGGTTAGGATTGTTTTTTTCCTTAAGTACATGAATTGCATTTGCTATTTACCATTCAGCCAATAAGCATTATGAGATCCTTCTGTTATTCTCTCCTGTCAGTTTTAATTTTTATTATTCTCTGTAAACTCTGCATCATCAGGAAGTGCTGTCATTTCCTAACTCACTTCTCTCCCAGATCATTTATGAACACATTGAAAAGGAGCCCAGCACGAACAGCAGTATATTAGTCCATTTTCTCTCAGTTGTGAAAAGTTTTTCCTTAGTATGCTTTAACCAGTCATTAGTCCATGAATGTGGCTTCCTTTTATAGGTTGAGTGATTGTTCCTTTTATATCTGGCCTTTTGACCACACTGTTATCCTCACCTACCAATTTTCCCAGGACAGTCTGAAGCTACCCAATCTACACTTCCATACCCCCACCTTGAAGGACTTGGCCGTTGAGATCTCCAGAATAAAAACAAGCCAATTTATAGGAACACCATAAAGCTCAGCACTGGTAGCAGTCAAGCATTTATGTGTTTAGAGGCAGTGCAATATACTGAGTCATATATGCAACCACTCTCCTGCTGGAACAGATCTCTGTGTTCTTGGCCCAAACATAACAAAATTCTCAAGTTGTTAGAGAATGTTTACGTGTGGTTATGCCTTGTGATGTACATAGGAGGCAAGTCATTCATGCCAAGCTCTGACAACTGCCACTGAAAATCCTTGCCTAATGATAATCAGTGGGCTGAATGTGATCAGAACATCCAAGGAAAAAAGATTTCAGACATTAAAACTTCTGATTTTGAAAGAGTCTAATTTGGATTGCTTCCTTCTCAGTTACATTCAATTATCTGAACAAAATCTCAGATGCTTACATTGCAAACACACTGTGCCTTATGCCAGCAATTTTCTGTGCTTCCAGTACAGCAACCTAAATATTCTTGGCATTATGGGCATAAATCACAAAATGAACTGAGCAAATATGTTACATCCCCACAAAGCTTTGTGGACAACTTATCACAAATCTGCAGGCAACCACTGCCATAAGTGATTAAGCAGGTGCTGACCTACTGTTGGAACACCTCAGGCATCTAAGGATGGGCTTGGGAAGCTGTACTGTCCCCCTTCTGCACAAGAAACAGAAGTGTAAGAGTTTATACATTTACTGTAACGTGGAGTTCAAGTTACCTATAAAGACCAAGTTCTTCTTTGGCTACTTACTGTTGGCTATAAGGAGAACAGGAATTCAGTCAAGAAAAGGTCCTAAGGAGAAGTTACAGGGACTAGAAAGACAAGTTTAGAACCAATACAGAGTTTCCCTCTACAGTGATGACAAAATCTTTCATTTCTTTGTTGATGAACTTGAAATGGAAATCCTGCTCCCTCAGAGTGGACATTAGTTTGGCCAGGGGAAGAGACTCAAAATAAACATTTCCTTGCTGTCAGAATGGTAACAGACTGGTTACATCCTCACACTGGATCCAAGTACGACCCATTTTATTTACACCCAAGCATGATGTATGCATGTACAATAGCCAAATTAACAAATATTCCAAGCTATTGTTCAGTACAGATTATGGAGTCAGCTTTCATTCTGCTGCATGCACCAACTTTGAAAGAGAGCCTTTGTAAAGAAAAATGGCCTGCTGTTTGTGTCAGTTTCCCTGCCCAAAATGAATTCTGCATTTCTCCCAAAAACACACACTGGGCTTAAGTCTCCTCCTCACAAAGGCACTCTGTCTGTGTGCCTTCACTTAGAACACAGATTTTATTTATTAAAACTGAGCATGAAATTCAGTGCCATGTAGATACTTACCATGCTGCTTCTGAGCAAGATAGGATGGTGAAAATAGTGATGGCAGGCTTCCTTCTCCTGTCATGGTACTTCCATTCTTCCACCACCTGGGATAACTGTCTCCACCATCTTAGCACCTAAGTGACTCTGAAAACAAACAAACAAATACCCTTCTTCACTCAAAATCAGAACAAAGGCTTTTGGGGGGGGGGGGGAAGGGGGGAGGGGGGGAAGGAGGGAAGGAGGGAAGGAGGGAAGGAGGAAAGGAGGAAAGGAGGGAAAGAGGCAGGGGGAGGGAAGTAAGACGGTCTATTGAAACATCATATAAAAAAATAAATAGCGAAATGGGGTTTGCAGATGGTGGGGGGCTACCTGCAGCTCAAGGAGCAGATGGGAAGAAAGCTCAGAGGCATAAGAGTGGATGTACCAGGATTCACCAAAGTCTCCATCCAACTAGCCCCACATTTAGTCTCTTAAGTGGCCAAACCAGATGCTCCACATTTGCTAGTCCTGTCTTAGTACAGCGTATAGTGATACACACCCAAATACCTCCCTTGCCTGCAGCATTTTGCATCTTAGAGACTTCCAGATCCACTGGTAGTGACTTAATAGCCCTCAGTCTTATTTTATTCCATGAATTGGTCTTCAGTGATTTTTAACATCCACAACATCCTGCAGCAAGGACGTTTTACAACTTAATCTCATTTTATGGAAGAATCATCTCCTGCTAACAACTTCTGTCTCAAACTTCTCTTCTACTTGTTTTCTCTGAGGATTTTAATTCTTTTATTGGAAAAGACAGTAAATAATTGCATTACGCTGTACTGGATCCAGCCAGAACACCCAGAAATTTGTAGGTACCAGCTATTTCCATAAATCTTTTTCCAGAAACATGAAACTATTTTTGCTACACCTACACCTCCAGTATTTTGAGGAGGGCAAAGAGTCCAAAGCCATAGCATTAATGTAGTAATTTGGCAATGATTAGTGCCTGCAACACACACTTTAAGATAGTTGCTTTTTCTTCATATGGCTGTGTATTGGTCTTCCAAAGACTGATGGAATTTCCATTACAAGAGACAATCAGGGCTGCAGAGCCCACATACCTTCACCTTTTGTCTCAATGTGTATGAAGTACACTATTCATATACATACTGAGAAACAAGGTACAGGTACACCAACCAGAAAAGGAAAGTCCAAGGTGTACCTCTCCTAATGAGCAATACAGGCAGACTGGTAACAATGGACAAGTAGAAAAATGAGGAACTCAACAACTATTTTGCCTTAGTCTTCACTGGCAACTGCTCTTCACACAGCCCTGAAGTAGATGGCGTGGAAGGTGGGGACTGGAGGAGCAGTGTTGCTCCTACTGTAAGTATGGATCAGGTTCACAACCACCAGAGGAATCTAAATGTTTATAAGCCTGGACTTAGTAAAGCTTTTTATTTTGTCTCCCATAGCGTTCTCCTGGAGAAGCTGGCAGCCCATGGCTTGAATGGGTACACTCTTTGCTGGGGTAAAAGACTGGCTGGAAGGCCTGGCCCAGAGGATAGTGGTGAATGGAATTAAATCCAGCTGGTTACTAATCACAAGTGGTGCTCCCCCAGGGGTTGGTACTGGGGCCTGTCCTCTGCAATATCTTTATTGATGACCTGGATGAGGGCACTGAGCTCACTGTCAGTAAGTTTGCAGATGACATTAAGCTGGGAGGAAGTGTCAATTTGCCTGAAGGTAGGAAGGCCCTACAAAGGAATCAGGACAGGCTGGATCAATGAGATAAAGCCAATTGTATAAGCTTCAACGATACCAAGTGCCAGCTCCTGTGCTTTGGTCATAACAACCCCATGCATTGCTACAGAGTTGGGGAAGAGTTTCTAGCAAGCTATATGGAGGAAAAGGATCTGGGGGTCAACATCTGGCTGAACATGAGCCAGCAGTGTGCTCAGGTTATCAAGAAGGTCAGCGGCACCCTGGCTTGTATCAGACATAGTGCAGTCAGCAGGACAAGGGAGGTGATCATCCCTCTGCGCTTTGGCATTGCTGAGGCCACACCTCAATTTAAGCTATGACACCATCATAGCAGCTGTGAAACAGAGGGTCACCTCTGCTGGTGCAGATTTTTATAGTCATCACTTGTGAAAATGCATAGCTAATGGAGGTGATTATGTTGAAAACCAGTGATTTTTTTATATATATATATATATTTTTAGCTGAGAATTTTCTCTATCAAGTACTGTTATTCCATTCTTTGTACCTGTTGTAGTTCCCATGGAAATAAATAGAAGGCATTACTTTTGGATCAATCTACATAACAGTAGTTCTCCTTGGTCACCACCCAAAGTGGGAGGGCAAAAATGTGTATCACAGACTTTCTTCATTTCTTCAGGTTACAAAGGGATCTGTGAGTAAAAGGAAAGGATAATACGGGACAAAGCCATGAGTGGTTGATGAAATTGGCTTCTGCTATTGCAAGCAAACCCCTCATCAATTGCTTTTCACACAGCAATGAAGCTTCCTTTTAACTTAGCCTAGGATTTTTTTCCTTTCATCTCCTGACGGAAATATCACTTTTCTTTGACTACTAAAGAACCTCTTCCTATCTCCAGAGTAAATGTGTTCGTTCCTCATTAACACCCATTTGTTCTTGTGCCAGCACAGTTCACAAGCTTTGGGAGCTGGGGGGATTTTGTTCCTGCATGGCAGGAACACCTTTCCTGAAATGCTTATAGATGATCACATCCCCTCTAAACCTTCATTTTTTTACACTCCATCAGCCAAGCTCTTTTAATCTCACACTGCAGACCACCACTGTCATTCCCATTCTCTGCATCAACTTCACTTTACAGTGACCATTCTGAGAATTACTGAGAACTACCCACAGCATTACAAAGGATGCTCCTAGCAGAGTTATTAGCAGTGGGGACCTGCACTCCAGAGAGCTGGAGATATAAGCTGAAGGCTCTCCTTCCAGAGCTGGAAACATTTCCAGGCTGATGAATCTTAATGCAACCAGCCTATGAGTTAGGGATAGGGAGCTCACAACACCTGCACCCATAGTTTGGTGAAAAATATCTCACCAGTGGATAAAATAGGTGTATAGACCATCTCTAAATGTCCTCTCCTGGGTTTGTAACCAGTCCCCTTACCCAAACCAAGTGGCAGAATGAGTGGCTTTGTTGTACTTGGACGAGTATCAGGCACTCAGAGTAAGAGAGATTTATAGGGCAGCCAGAGCACTGAATCAGTACAAAATGATCACAGAATCACTAAGGCTGGAAAGACCATTGAAATCATCTTGTCCAACCATCAACCCATCATGACCTGTTGGTCCACATTTTGAGAAGACTGGTGTGGCTGAATGCATCAGTGCCAGGACCATGGCACTATAAAGTCCCACTGCACAGGAAACACGTCCATTAGTCCTATACAATGCACTAGGTTAAGATCATGCGTATTATGTGGGAATCAGGAGGCTTTAATCATCTTGTTAAGTGCAGTGGACTTGTGTTCTGGAAGCTTTTAGCCTCTCTATTACCACATTCGAGATGCAATCATTGTTGCTGTGGAAATAAACAAGATGGCTTATAGAGAAAGAAATGCTATAAAGTGGAGATGAGGCAATGGGAGCAGATGAGCCCTTATGGAACAAAGGGCTCTCTCGTTCTCCAAGCATCGTGTCTAACAGAACAAAATATCAGGCACTGACTGAAAACACCTTAGAAAAATTGACTGTGCTTAGCTACGTTATATAATACGACATCAGCAAGTCTTTATCTAAATTACACAATCATATCAACCATTCTGTGTTTCCAGCCTTCGTAAGTGTTCGTTTTTTTATCTGCCTCCCATTACAGCATCTGAAAATGTCTGCCTAAATCCTTGTGTTTATATGCACCATTATTGACTTACAAACACTAGATTGCTCCCCAGTGTTCTTCCTTAATCTCCTGTGGCTCAGGGAACACGAAAACAGAGATTATCGTATATTTGATATTACAGATAATGTCTTCATCTTCAAGGCTCTAAACCCTCCCATGGCCCCTCTGTCAGGAAAATTCAACACTTTGCAACTTAAAACCAGAAAGCACTTCTCTTCTGTGTCCTGACCTTGGCTGTAACCATTGCAAATGGATGGAGTGGAGAGACAAAAAGATCCCAACACCCTCTGTGCAGCAATGTACTCTTAACCTCGACCACTGCTGGAAACAAGTTCTGCTTTAATCCAAGCAGGGACAAACACAAAAACAGCTCTCATCATGAGACCTTGGGACGACAATTCCTGCAGCTGTGCAGTGATGACGTTCTCAGCACAGCACATCTCTATTTAAATCCAGCTAATTGCCACAAAGAAGAATGTCTGCAGAAACATTCACTTATCACAGGCATTCCTGAGCTCTTCTGCAGCCATGTCTCCATGTCAGGAGCTCTAAACGTTTCTGCACTCCTGGGGATGGGGCATAACCATAAGTAAAACATAAGGAATTTGATGTGGGTCCCAGAACAGCAGGAAGCAACAGCTCACTGGAAAAAAAAGATCCAAATTTTGGTGTAGATAGTGCAAACACAGAGCAGAGAAGGCCAATCAGTATTGGGCAGCAGTTTACTCCCCTGAATTATTTACTTTTTAAAAGCTCAGTCCTGCTGCAGTCATGTTTCTCTTAACCCTTTCAACCTTTTTTGATGTGGCAATGAGCAACAAGGGGCAGCTCTACTATGGGGATGGGAGCATAGGCCACCCCCTACCAAGACCAGGTACGTGCCATCAATTTTTGACCTGAGCCGAAGGAGAAAAAATGGCTGGTAGTGGATTAGAACAGAAAAAGCAGCCCACAGTCACAGCAGTTTTGATGTAACCGAAGGGAGACGGTGCACATGGTGGACTTCACATGTTTAGGACAGAGTTGGAGTGATAGGGCTAAATGGAAATGCCAATACAGACACGTAAAGCACCTTTGTTGCTCACACCCCCTCTAGGCAGCGGTTGAGGAGCCCAGGGTCAGGCTGCTTTTTGAGGACATGAGATTTCAAGGTGCAAAACACATTGAGATCCACAGTGCCTGCATCCCCTCAGCCACATCACGCCTGCATCCAGCCCTGGACACACATGCACAATGTGGCTTTATCCCCACAAAGGAGCATTTTTGTGCTCACTGTTCGCCCCCGTGCTCATATCTGCTGCGGTCATGTTGGTGGAAATAAGGAGCTTTTATACAGAGTACTATTTTATCTCCTTGCCTTGTCTTTGCTCTTCACTCCTGCACAGTGGTTATCACTTATCTTCCACAAGCAAATTCTAGGGTTGTGATCACCGTCCATTTCATGTCTAGATGAGGATGTCCCATCCCTGTCCCATCCCTGAAGACAAACAAGGTCAGGCTGGACAGGGCTCTGAGCACCTGATGGAGCTGTAGGTGTCCTTGTTCACTGCAGGGGAGTTGGACTAGATGAGCTTCATGGGTCCCTTCCACCTCAAATGATTCTACAATTCTATGACAGAAAACAAGCTGTCTTGTCATCTTTTATCTACCCAGGGTATATGGCCATAAAGAGATGGTTTCCTGCACACAGCACTGAAGCTTCCCTGCTGCCCCATGGCTGTAAGGACACAGCCGATAAATAGAGTAAATGATCCACTGCTCAGCACATGCAGATACTGGGTAGGAGACCAGCCTCCAACCTGATACTGAAAATGCCCAAAAGGGTCTCATGAAAGAGGCAGAAGGAGAAGAAAGACCCACCATGATGTGAGCAAGGCGTCCTGCCTGCTCCCCATGCAGCCAACCCCAGCTGTGTGCCAGGGCAGCCCCAGGAGGAAAAAGGCAGAGCAGAAGAAAAGTGGGCTCACCTATGAAAGATCTGTGGTCCCTATTTTTCTTCACACACCGAAGTAACAAAAACATACAGAAGAGAGATGTTGGCTAAAGCAAAGACAACAGATGCAGCAAAAGATGATCAGTATTTTCTAAACAAAAAACAGCTCTTTTAAAATCAGGATAAATCCTCAGAGAAAGATTCCAGGGGACACATCCATTTTTTCTGCAATGCGGATTTGTAAAACAAATTATGTGCTTGTCTGAGTATCACATAAGATACTGGTTGGAAACATTTCTTTTAAGTAGAATAACTGATGAGCTGTGTGTGCTAACTGCCATCCTCAATAGATGCAGCCTTCTCCCATTTCTCTCCTCTCTTGCTAGAAACAAAGCAGCATTTATGAGCAAAGAGTAAAATCTTTGGTGTCATTTTCCAATCTGAAGACTCTGAGGCGCTCATCACTGTGTTCTTCCCCTGTAACTATCCTCCAGCCTCCTGTAATTGCACTCAGCAGTCTGAGGCTTGGCACTCACCAGCTTGCAGCAGCTCTCTGCAGCACACACCGATCAGGATTTTCATGTCAGCTCTCCCTCTCTTCCCATCCATGATTTTTCCTGCTAGATTTCTGTCCAGATGGCAAAGCCACCACTGCATGGCTGCCTCAAACCAGCACAGAGACAATACGGGAGGCAGCATCCTGACCCACAAAGGGAAAGGATCTTTGTCACCAAACTCTCCCTACTTGGCTGATAACGTGTAGACTTAGCTCCAGCATCACACTGCTCATCTGTAGAGCTGAGGCACTTTGTAAAGGCTGAGGGAGTGCCCTCCTCCTGCCCCAGAAGAAGAGAGGGCTCCAGGAAGACCTGAGAGCAGCATTTCAGTATCTAAAGGGGGCTGTAAGAAAGAAGAGACAGACTCTTCAGCAGGATCTGTTGAGAAGGAACAAGGGGGAACGGTTTCTAACTTAAAGACATAGATTTAGACTGAATATAGGGAAAAAGTTTTTTACAGTAAGGGTGGTGAGGCAGGTTGCCCCAATCCCTGGAGACACCCAAAGTCAGGCTGGATGAGGCTCTGGGCTGTCTGAGCTGGTGGGGGCAAACAGTCCATGGAAGGGGACTGGGGCTGGGTGGGCTTTAAGGCTCCTTCCAACCCAAATCATTCTATAATTCCATGATTCTCAAAGCAAAGCCATCCCTCTACTCCTCCTACAACCGTAGCAAGGAAGCAGCCCAGCAGCACATACTGGCACGCACGCTCGCTGCCCGAGGTCCCGGCCGTGAGCAGCGCCAGGATGGAGCGCCTCAGCCTCCACAAACTTCCCCACCAGGACCGGAGCCGGACCCTCCCTCGTCGCACCGCCTCCGCCCCGCCTCTAAACCGGGCGCGGCCGCCGCGGCGGGCGGATGGGCAGAGCCCGGCGGGTTGGTGTTCTGGCGGAGGTTGGCTGTCCGCTGCAGGCTGCGAGACCGCCGCCCCCCGTCCGCAGGAGACCGCCGCGGTAAGGGCATCGGGACCGGGGAAGGGGGATGCTCGGTGGGAGCCAGTGAGAGAAGTTGAGCTGAAATTCCTCTCCGTGTGTCGCAGCCCGGTCGGGAGTCCTCTCCCAGAGCCAGACAGGCTGTGAGCGAGGCGGTGTGGGGGGAAACACCTCCGTGCCCAGTCGGAGGCATCGCTCAGCCGCTGCGGAGCTGCAGGTGCGATGGCTCTGCAGGGGGATTGGACGCGGCGCGGGGTGCGGGTGCCCCTTTCCATGTACCGCCGTGATGGAGCGGGGAGGTGGCGGCACGGGCCGGTCGCAATGCTGCGGGGGGTTGGTCCGGATTGCATCAGGTGTGAGATGAGGTCCGCTCGGGCTGCGGATAGCCGCTCTCTGCCCCGGGTTTCGGCTTTTATTTTGAAGCATTCTTCGGATTTTGGGCAAGGTTTCCCAAGTGCTGCCCGGCTCTACATACTTCCCTCGTTCCACGTCTTCCCTTTTGCTCAACAGCTCTCCGCTGATGAAGTGCTTTCTTGCGACATCAGCACTGGGAACTAAATTCCGGAGGCTGGGGGTGAAGGAGGCGTGCTGGCGTACTCTGATCTGCGAGAAGTACCCCAAAAATGTGCCCATGGTGATACGAGCTGTGCATCAGCCTGCTGGGGCTGGGAATTGCTTTGAGCATACATTGCAGGCTGTGCTACTCCCCCGGCTGTCTGTGGGGGAACTTCTAACTGAAGTAGGTTATAAAGAAAAGTTGGAGTCAGCCGAGTTGCAGTAAGGTCATAGCCATCCCACGGAGCACAGCCTAAGCTCCTTGGTTGCTAATCTCATTTTCTCTTCCATCCACGTCGGTTTGGTTTTTCACCACGCAGCTGCCAAAGTTGAGGTTGCGTCAGGGAGCTGCAGGCAGCTGGGAGCCTGGGTAATGCCTTTTGGTGCTGTTGTAAGTGAATAATCCCCCTCCAGGCTGCTGTCCAAGAATTTTGCTTCAAAAAATGTGAGCACTGTACAAGAGCCATTGTGTAACAGATCATCTGAATGTGGGACAGGAAGGGACCTGGCAGGTCAGCAGATTGAGCACCGAATGATATTATGCCTTATTGCACACCGCTGTGATTCGTTTCTCCCTGCTCTCCTGGGAAGGGTATGTTTCAGAACTTTGCTGAACAGATAATATAACATTTCTTCCAATATGTTTCTTTGTCTCGCTTTATATTGGCACTGTGATTATTTAGTTCCCTTTATTGTGCTCTTTTCCTCTCTTATCAGTATAGAAATTGTTGCTTGCTTTGCACTGTACAGTGGTAGACAAGCTGGGACTTGCTGTCTGCTCCCATAAAGCAGGCTTCAGCTGCTGCAGGTCCCCAGCAGCCCCACGCTGTATGTTTGGCTTCTGAAGGGATGTGAGTGAGCTGCAGGGTGAGTTGAGTACCACTCGTGCCATGACTCCTAATCTGGAGATAGATCCCTCTCCAGTAGGCGTTGCAATAAACCTCCTCCTCGGGCTCTTTCAATTCTGTAATGGCAATGGGAAGCTGACATTGCCATCCCCAGGTGTCCCCCTGACCTGTGTGTTCTGCACGCAGATCTTTTAGTCCAGCCCTTCTATCAATCCAACTTTTATAGCATATCCCCATGCTCTGCACTGCTGCACTCTCCTCCAGCTCTTTCCTGCTTCTTCCCATGACGGTGCTGTAAAGGAAGGTAGGACAGGATCTCCCCCACTCTCAGTGCTGACCCCACCACTGCTTCCTTTCACATGAGTGGCTGTCTGTTCCCTGTAGATGTGTACTCAGTGCAATTGTTCACCTTCTGTGGCTTGGCTCCCAGCTTTGCTGCAAGCTGTGCAGCAGGTGGCTATGCTTCAGAGATGTTGGAAACTGAACCCTACCCCTTCCTTGTGTGCCAGCTACACATGATAGATTTTTCAGAGTGACCGTGTAGAAAATTTTTCTTATCAGAGCAAACTCATTTGCATATTGTCCCTCTTTCCCCACCATTTACTTCCATATCTCCAATTATATACTTTCTCTGCAACAATTATTCTGCTGATGAGGGATTTTTAATCCATCATTGCACTGTAACCAGCCATGAGATGGAAGTAGCTGGGCAGTGGATAGCAATGCAGTGCAATAGGTTAGGCAGCAAACATAGAGTCACTAAGGTTGGAAAAGGCCTCCAAAATCATCTAGTCCAACTGCCAACCCATCACCACCATGCTCACTAACCTGTCTCATAGAGCTGGAGCAAGTCATGCAACTTCAGACAGTCCCAGGACTTGTATCTGAGCTCAGATTGAGCTCCCAGTTAAATCTTTGCCCTTACTATTTGCAGTAAGATCTATCAATAATGATTCAGTGGAAGTAGCACCCGCTGGATCAACACAGTTAACTCATAGGATTGCCCAGCGGCGCCGAGCAAATCCGCTCCACGCAGTGCAAAATGCCACAGTGGGCAGATGCAAACAAGTCCATCATAAAGAGATATCTGCATTCCATTTGCTAACACTGTAACATTGTGTGCACTGTTTTATTTAACTAGGTGAAAATGGGCTAAATGTTGTGCAGTAGCTCGGTGCAGCCTTGCAGCCTGATGCCCTTTGTGCAGGAGGGAGGCTCCTCAAAGTGCTCAGTGCCTCAGGATGAGTGTGACTAGGTGCTTCTAACCTAATGCATTCTATCCTTCTGTATTATCTGCCAAACTCAAGATCATTGCAGTGTTTCTCAGCATTACACCTTCAACAAAGCAAGCAGGCAGTTCCCTATTTCATTGCACTGAGAGCTCTTGGGTCCCAGGCTGGCAACCAAGTTGCTAAGACCAAACTGGGAGAAGGAAGAAAATGAGGTTAGGTTGTGAGCCTTGGCTTTATCCTTCTTCCAGCAGGTGGCACCTTGCTGGTAGGGCTGTTGTGAGCTTAGGTGTGGGTCTTGTCACAGCATTCACATTCCAGCTGTGGAAGAGCAATGGAAGGAGGGGAACAAAAAGCAGCATGAGAACACACTGCAAAAAGGGGTCACTGCATTTGTGAGAGGAAGGCTGCGTATCGCCTGGCTTCTCTGTTCCTAGGAAAAAAATAACCACTGAAAAACAGAAAAGCCTTGTCATTGCTACCAGATGTCATTGGCGGTAGACAAGGAGCTGATTTTGTGGAACTGAATGTAGAAACAAATAGGGTGTGTGGAATTCATGAGCTACTGAGTCATCGCCTGTAGCGTGCAGGAGTGGCTGCAGTTAGAAGGGATTGTACAGTGTGGCAGGTTTGCTGCTGTTTTGTCAACGTATCCCTTCTGATCTGCAGAGAGCTTTGAGAGAGGGTCTGTATTTAACAGTTTAGTGATTTTTCTATTTGATGTAACCAATGGTGTTCAGCTATTTCTGGTAGTTTGATACCTGCGCTGACATTTCACAGTGCTGGAAAAACTGAAGCTACAAATCGATGAGAATCTTAAGCAAGCAATGTGTTTGCAGAAAGCTGTGTAGCATTTTGTGGTGTATTGCTCTGGGAAACCTGCTGAGCTGATAAAGGGCCGTGGGCAAAGCCAGCAGGACTGGGACTCAGTGGGTGACACTTGGGCTCCAGGATTGAGGCACTCAATGGACTCCAGGGTGTTTTAAGCACCCAGAAAGTAGCAGCTCTCTTCCGAGGGGTCCTTGTGCCAGCACTGTGTCCAATAAGAAAATAATGGCAAATGAAGAGCTGCCAGATCTCAGCAGGGTGACACAAGCGACTTGGTATGGGTATAGTGGGTGTCACCAGGTGGTGCTATTTAGCATTGACTTCCCGTTTATTCTTCTTACCACGACCATTATTTTGACTCATCTGAGTGTTATGTGGTATTAATTTGGGAATAGGTTTAAAGGCAAAGAAACCACTTGCTCTTTGCAGTGCTGCTCCATTGTAGTAGTTGTCTGTTGTACAGGTGCCCTTGGTCAGTCCTGTATGTTAGGAGGACTTTCCCAAAAGGGACGCAAGAGAAACTCCAGCTGACAGGTCGTGTAGCTGCTTAGAGCACACACAGCTTCAGTGACACTCACTTCTCCCCCATCCAAAGCCTTCTGTTGCCTTCAGCCTAATGGTGAATGCAGAAGTGAAGACAGGACGCTGCTGATGGCCAGAATGGGACTGCGTGGGTCTCTGTGCTTCCAGCTGGGAGAGCTGAGTCACGTTTTAATGAGAGAGGAGAGCTGGAGAACTTGAGCTGTACTGGGATAGCTCCAGGAAAGTGTGGGAAAGGAGGTACCATGACACTATAAAAACCTAAATTTAGTTCTCGTTTAAGTGGAAAATGTTTATGATTCTACCCTGGTGTGGATCAAGCAAAGCAGGAGCCATGGGGTCTGCTTCTGTCCAGCCCTGGGAGCAGCGGGCACATATGCATGGATGCAGCATCAGCCCCATTCTCCCCACTTGAGGCAACGGAAGAGGATGGCATCAATTCTGTTTACCTATTTATTTTCAGTTTGGCCTTGTTTCTGTTGATGCAGCTAAGGAATAACTTTGTTACCCTCTGCTCTGGCAGTAAATCACATTATTTTCAATAAGGCAGCTATCTCCGCACTGCTTCTGTTGTGCTGGTTTCTTCTATCTGGAATCTATCTGCTTCTCATCGTCCTGTTTCTGCACTCAGCCATCGCAGCAGTGAGTGAAGCATTGGCGTGAGGTCCTGATGGAAGCCCCAGGTAGTAACACAAGTCTTTGTCTTTTAGATATTTATAAGCATTGACAAGATCCTCTCTCCATCCTCTCTTCTCCAGGCTGAACAGCCCCAGGGCTCCTAGCTTTTTCTTGTACAGGAGAGGTTCCAGGTCCCAGTAATTTTAGTAACCTTCTGCTGGACTCTCTTCAGCAGTTCCCTGTCTTTCTTGAACTGGGGAGCCCAGAATTGCAACAGTACTCCAAATGTGTCCCAACCAGAGCAAAGGGTCAGGAGAATCTCCCTCACCCTGTTGACTATGCTCTATTTAATGTACCCCAGGGTGCCAGTCTCCTTCGTGTGCCTCTAGCTCAGGAAGAGTTG